CTCCCCTGAGAGCAGAGGCGTCCCGATGCAGGGACACAAACCGGCTCGAGCACAAAGGCCTGCCTGGGTGGGTATCACTAGGATCATAGTTCCAGGAGCTTCATGTTTCCTGTGTCCCAAGGAAAACAGATACAGCCTGACTCTTTCCCTGTGGCCTCCAGGTACAGATAGACACCATGGAGGGAGGGGAGGAGAGGGACCCAGCACTAGAAGAGGCACCGGACCTTGGAGTCAGTGAGCTGGACACATGCAGCCACAAGGGAGAGTGAGGGATAGAGGCGAGAACTTGGATCGGACCCCACCATGGAGACGAGAAGTGAAAAGGGGAAGCTGGTTGGAAACAGTGGTTAGTGATGACTCTCCCCACAGAAGGAAAGAAAAAAAAGAAAAGAAAAAAATTCACAAATAAATGAGCGGTCTTGAGAAGAGGAAGTGGGTCAGGGTGACAGAACCACATGGGCAGCCTGCCCTGCATGCCGTTATAACATGCCTTTCAACATCAACTCCTGGGTGTGTGCCAACTGTGTGCACCCCAAGCTCCTGGCTCCGGCTCCTCTTTTCCCAGCCCCACGTCCCATAGTCAAAGTTTGATTTAACTGGAGAGAAGATCCACATGGGGAGGGAAGAACAGAAAAGAACAGCCTGAGCTGTGCCCAGTGGGGTTGGAACTCCTGTTCTTTTCAGGGGGTTGCCAAACCCAACGGTGCTCAGGGCTTACTTACTCCTGGTTCTGTGCTCAGGGCTCACTCCTGGCAGGGCTCAGGGCACCACATGGGGTGCTGGAGATCGAACCTGGGTCTGCTGTTTGTAAGGCTACTTGCTATCCTATTTGCTGTACTATCTCTCTAGCCTGGAATTCCTGTTCTTGCTGACCATGGCTTTGGTACGGGCAGTCTTAGGGTCTTCCTTGTTCAAGCATGCCCCGGCAAGCAAGACCTCCTCTCCTGAGCTCTGTCTGTATGGGACCCAGCTGAGTTGATACTGCCCACACTTTCCTTCCAGGACACTGTCCTCAGGGCCCAGGAATCGCAGCCTCATGTGAAGGGCCCAATCGGTTCCTCCTGTCTCTGAAGGCCAGTCAGAAAAGACACTCCCTGTTCCCATCTGCTAGGGCCATGCCTTTAGGTTCAACTCACAATGGAGAATCCAGAAAGGTCCTCCCAGCGGGAGCCCTTCTCGAGAGCTAGATAGAGCTCTCGCACTCTGCATAGGCCTTTAGCACAGGGCTCTTCACCCCTGGCAGACAGCTGACCCACCTGGTGTCCCGCCATCAGCAATGTCTCCCATCCCGCTGTGCACCTGGGGAGCACCCCATCTGCAGAAGAGAACCTCATATGCTCCCACTATTCAGTCTTCAGCAAACTCTGTCCCCACAGCAATGACAAGGCCCTCAGAGGCTGAGCCGTCTTAACTTGTTTCTCCTTGCATCCCTTCCGTGCCCTTGTGGTTTTGTATGTGTTTGCGGAACAGTGCTCTCCTCAAAGGGGACCCCAGAATAGCAGGGTGAGGGCCTGAATTGAGAACCTCCATGTCACTCATCAAGGCAGTCAGATGCTTTTGTTTCCGGTCTGGCTGTGTGTGTGTGTGTGTGTGTGTGTGTGTGTGTGTGTGTGTGTGTGTGTGTGTGTGTTGGTGGGGGTGAGGGGGCTCCCAAGTGGTGTTCAGGAGGCCTTAAGGCAGCTCCCTGTGACGCTCCACTCATCCAATCAGTGGTTGATGCAGCGCTGATCTTGCCCTATTGGAGTTCAAGGGGATTTCTCCAAGGCTGCATCCAGCCATGCTCCAGGGACCAGGTGGCAGTAGTGGGGATTGAACTCAGATCTTCTGCATGCAGACCAAGCACCTAGAGCACCTCTCTGACCCTTTCTCCATGCTCTTGTCCCAGCCCTCGCCTTCCTCTCATCCCACATATCCCTGCAGCCATTTATTAGATTGAGGACTTTCCCATGGAACTGCAGAGGGAATTCAGTCAATAAAAGTGCAGGCCATTTAGCAATGAGCCTGGCAACTCAGGAAGGGTGGCCCGCCTCTCCCTGCTCCCTCACACTCCTCAGTGGGGGAAACATAAAAATAAGCCTTTTTTCAGGCCCACAAAATGAAGGAAAACCTCCAGGCCAGATGACTTGTAGTTCCTAGAGCAGCAGTGAGAGGTGGGAACCTGCAGGCAGTTGGGGTGCCCCCAAAGGTCTCAGCGTGTCTGTCTTTGCATCTGTGTGTCCCCAGGGGCTGCTGTGTGCCTCGGCTGCAGCAGGACCACAGGACAATGCTGTGAGCAGGCCCAAGAAAGAAGCAGAGACCTGCTAGCACAGCCCTGGGAACTTAGCTCAACCAGGACAGCCAATTTCCCGACAGTCTCCCTGCTCTCTTCCTCATCAGCCCATGGCACCGACTCTAAGATTTGCCCAAGGTCCCTGGGAGGCAGGCATGGTGCCAAGGGTAGAAAGCAAATCTTCCACATGCAGGCTGGCAAAATCCAGTGGGTCCTATGGTACCAGGTGCTGGGAAATACTCCAAGGTCAAAGGATCAGCTGTGGATCTACTGGCCAAGTAGCCCACTCTTGGGGTCAGTGCTGTCGATCTTTCCCCTGGGGAGGTGTATGTGTGGCGGGGGGTAAGCCAAGGAGGATGGGAGGGGCTGGTCTCCCTGGGCGCCACCTGACTTAGCCAAAGGCTAACTAGCTGCCCACTGATGTAGCAGCAGTGGTAGGAAGAGAGAACTCGTCAACAAGTCCCAGGTCCCCAGCAGTAATCCCCCTTTCTCTGTGCACACCATTTGAAGGGGATATCCACAGCGCTCAGGAACAGGCTGCCTAGCCCTGAGCAGTTTCACTGAGTCACGGGCAGAGGTTCCTCTCTGGGAAAGGACCTTGCAGCCCAAAGCAAAGGAAGCAGATGGGGAACTGCATCCCAGCCTTGAGGCCCAGGTTCTGGGAGATGCTGGGGCAGAGGGGAGAAGGGCAGAGGGCAGAGGCAGGCGGGATTAGGGCAGCTCTGCTGAGCGAGTCCTCACCTTGGCGGGCACCACCTTAGAAAACCACAGTGAAAAGGATGCCAGGGCTGCGGAAACGCCCGTGGTTAAGGGGTGTGAACCCTGCCTTCAGTTGTGGTGGGGGAGGGAGGCAGTGCCAACCAGGAGTGCCACCTGAATGTGCTTGGGGTTTCTGAGGGGGCTGTGGTATCGCCAGGAAGAGGAGTGCCCGGAGGACTGGAACAAAGGGGCTGCTCTGAGGCCTCTCAGCTCCTGAGGAGGGAGTGAGGGAGAAGAGGAGAGGAGGAACTGGACTGGGTTCCCAGCCTGGGCATGAACATCTGAGCTTTCTGTGTCTGTTCAGAAGGAAACAGGAAATGAGAATGTTGAGGGTAGGCCAGGCCGAAATAAAGGGCAGGGCATCTAATTATTGGATTCATTTGCCCCACCAGGCCCATCCTGCCTCTCTCAGGCCTGTGATAGCTCCTTAACAGAAGGCTGCTCTGGTCTCTGACTCTCCTGGTTTGCTTAGAACTGAGGAGTTTCTGACAGGTGAGGTTTCCAGTGCTAAACCTGGAAAATTCCCTGGCAAACCAAGAGATGGTGAAGGGCTTCATCTCACCCATTAAGGGGAAGGACAAGAAATAACTCAAAAAAAAAAAAAAAAACAGGGCTGGAGAAATAGCACCGCAGGTAGGGCATTTGCCTTGCATGCAGCCAAACTGGGTTCGATTCCCAGCATCCCATATGGTTCCCTGAAAACCACCAGGGGTAAGTCCTGAGTGCAGAGCCAGGAGTAAACCCTGAGCATCTCTGGGTGTGACCCAAAAAGCAAAAAAAAAAAAAAAGAAAAGAAAACCAACACAGACTGGAGATAAAATAATCCCTCCACAATTGGTGTTGGAGTTATCCACATCTCAATATCAGGCGAATGATTCTTCTTTATGAGACATTCTCTTGCCTCTCTTATACATCCTAAATAAAACCTTTTCACTTCACAAAACAAACAAAACCAAAGTTGAAGCTATTTCCGTAATAGATCTGCTCAAGGTTCTGGACAGAAAAAGAGAGCAGTTCTGGCTTCCTGCAGGAGAAATCAGGTCCCCAGGGCAGAGGAGGTAGAAATAAAGGGAAGGACAGGAGCCCTGCTTTGGGGAGATGTGGACTAGGAGTGTGCATCACGGCTGAACTAGCACCATCTCCCTGCTTCCTCCCAGTCCCAGAATTCTCCACTCCCCCTTCCACATGCTGGTTCTACTAGCTCTCTCTTGACAGAACTCTTGAAAATCAAAGCTCAAAACTACAGAGGCCTATGTGAAAATTAGGCATGCAAATTGGCAGTTAGCTGAGCTGTTAACTGAGTCATTCACAGTCACCCAACCCCATAGAACTGTGTGCTCAGAGAGGTTCACTTCCACCTCACAAAGTGATATGAGCTGTGTGCATGACCTGAGAAATGTAGGGACCATCAGAATTCCAAATGTGGGAGCTGAAGCAGTAATATCGAGGGTAGGATGTTTGCCTTGCACATGGCTGACCTGGGTTCAATCCCCAGCATCCCATATGGTCCCCTGAGCACTGCTAGGAGTAATTGCTGAGTGCAGAGCCAGGAGTAATCTCTGAGCATTGCTAAGCGTGACAAAAAAAAAAGAAACCAATAATGATAATAATAAAAGCACACTCCTCCCATTGTTCATCGATTTGCTCGAGCGGGCACCAGTAACATCTCCATTGTGAGATTTGTTGTTACTGTTTTTGGTATATCGAATACGTCACAGGGAGCTTGCCAGGTTCTGCTGTGTGGGTGGTAGCTTGTCGGGCTCTCCGAGAGGGATGGAGGAATTGAACCCAGGTAGGCCAGGTGCAAGGCAAACAACCTACCCGCTGTGCTATCGCTCCAGTCTCGCAATAATAATAATAATAATAATAATAATAAGAAGAAGAAGAAGAAGAAGAAGAAGAAGAAGAAGAAGAATCCTGAATGTGTTCCTCCAGGAACTAACGCTGTGACTTGTTTTCTTTTGTGATCCAGGACCTCACCATGCCCACCCTCTCCCCCGAAGTCAACCTAGATGACTTCGAGTATGATGAGTCTGCCGAAGCCTGCCATGTGGGGGACATCGTGGCCTTCGGGTCTGTCTTCCTCTCCATTGTCTACTCCCTGGTCTTTGCCTTTGGCCTGGTGGGAAATCTGTTGGTGGTGTTCGCCCTCACCCACAGCCGGAAGCCCAAGAGCATCACAGACATTTACCTCCTGAACTTGGCCTTCTCGGACCTGCTCTTCGTGGCCACCTTGCCCTTCTGGACCCATTATCTGGTCAGTGAGCAAGGCTTCCACAATGCTGTGTGCAAACTCACCACCGCCTTCTTCTTCATCGGCTTTTTCGGTGGCATCTTCTTCATCACCATCATCAGCATTGATAGATACCTGGCCATCGTCCTGGCCGCCAACTCCATGAACAACCGGACTGTGCAGCACGGCGTGACCATCAGCCTGGGGGTCTGGGCAGCTGCCATCTTGGTGGCAGCACCCCAGTTCATGTTCACGAAGCAACATGGGAACGAGTGCCTAGGTCACTACCCAGAAGTCCTGGAGGAGATCTGGCCTGTGCTCCGCCACGTGGAGACCAACCTTCTCGGCTTCCTGCTTCCTCTGCTCATCATGAGTTACTGTTACTTCCGGATCATTCGGACCCTGTGTTCCTGCAAGAATCACAAGAAAGCGAAAGCCATCAAGCTGATCCTTCTGGTGGTCTTTGTGTTCTTCCTCTTCTGGACGCCTTACAACGTTTTGATTTTCTTAGAGACCCTCAACCTCTACGACTTCTTTCCCAGCTGTGACGTGAAGAGAGACCTGAGGTTGGCCCTCAGTGTGACCGAGATGGTTGCCTTTATCCACTGCTGCCTCAATCCTTTGATCTATGCATTCGCTGGGGAGAAGTTCAGAAGATACCTTTCCCACCTGTACAGAAAATTCATGGCTGTCCTCTGCGGTCGCTCTGTCCACGCCAGTTTCTCCCTACCGGAATCAAACCGGAGCAGGACGGAGAGCATCCTGAACAGCAGCTTCACCCACTGCACCAGTGACGGGGATGCTTCCATCCTTCTCTGAGCCACTGCACAGAGAGCCTGCTGCTCCCGAGCCTGAACCGAATGCTGAAGACAGATTGGAGGTTGGGGGGCTGATTTCCCACTTGCAAGAAGAGATGGACTCGGTGTCCCCCTCTCAAGGAACCCGAAAGTCATTTTGAGAATTTAGATGATAAAGGGTAGGCAGTGCCAAGGCATCTTTGCAAGTGACACACATTTCACTTTGACTTTACTCAGCCTGTGAAGGGGATGAGAATTGCCCATGATGTGGCGTGGACAAAAATGTGGTAGACACCTTAGAGTGTGTGGAAATGTTCGCCTAAAAGTAGCTAGAATTTCCTCTCTCCAACTCTCAGATCTGAGGAGAAACAGAATTCCTGTACTTGAAAAAAAAAAATCAGCTTTGGCCAAAGATCCCTTTCTCTCTGCTCTCAAGAAAAAAACTCCCAGAGAGAAGCATGAGGTTTCTACCCCCGGATGGGGCAGTGGTACTCACCGAGACGGGAGAAGGGAGCAGCTTTTATTCCCTCCTTGTGGTGAGAGATGCAGGAAGACTGATTTTCAAGAAGCTGGAGGGATGGAGGGTCTTTGGACCAGAGAGAACAGAACTGTACACCCACTTTACAGGAGTCCCACCCCGCCTCTTCCAGATCACACAGCCAGCACACACTGCCAGCTCCTCCTCACTGCACTCTCTTCCAGCAGAGTTTTCCACCCCACCCCCCACCCAATGTCTAGCATGAAGTGGAAACTCAGAGGCTTTCCATGTGGGGTCCCACCAGCAGATCCCTGGGCACTCCCCTCCCCCACCACATCAGCCAGATCTTCTCACACATCTAATCAGATGCCAGAATCCAGGGAAATGAATAGAAGGAAGCCAGGCCCCAAGGGATAAGGGGTGGCTTCCAGTCCCAGCTCTGTCACTTGCCCCTGGGAACTTGGTGCCCACCCAGTTTCAGTTTCCTGATCTAGAGAATTGTCTCTTCATGAGCTGAAGAGATAATGGCACCTGCCACATCAGAAGGATTCTTTCCAGCTCAAGGAATCAATTCCCACTCATAGGGGTTCCAACCCTCTTATCCGGATCACAGACTTCAGCTTTCCCCTGACATAGCCCTTTGCCTATGCAATGTGGTTTACAGAGTTTGAGGAAGCCAACAGGCTTTGTCTAGGCAGCGAAGGCTGCTTCTCACATTGGTACTCAAGCAACACTCCAGGTTTATAGACCTATCATCCTCCCTGGCCCAATCCTCCCAGGATATTACCTCCCAATCACCTCATGGCAAACTTTTGCCCATCTGGGGCCCTGGAGAGATAGTATAGTGGGTATTACCTTGCATGGGACCGACCCAAATTCAATCCCTGATATTCCATATGGTCCCCTGAGCACTGCCAGGAGCAATACCTGAATAATCCCTGATCATAGTCAGGTGTGGCCCATCAAACAAAATAAAACAGAACAAAACCCTCTGTCCATCCGGAGAGAACTACCAGCTTAGAGATATAAAATCATGGGATCAGCTAAGGGCATAAGAGGGTCTGGAGAATACAGGGTCTTTGAGATAGATAGTACATTGGTAAGGTGATTGTACTACCTATGGCTGACAAGGGTTCGATTCCTGATATCCCATATCATCCCCAAACTCTGCCAGGAGTAATTCCGGAGTACAGAGCCAGAAATATCCCCTGAGCATTGCTGGGTGTGGCCCCCAAACAAAAACAACAAAAGAAGAAGGTCAGGAGAGCGGTCAAGGGCATGAGATAGTCTAAAACATTAAAGCTTCAGAAAAAAACATTACTAATGCTCAGGATGTCACCTCTCTAACCACACTCCATTGTCAATTGTCCCTCCAGACTTGTTCACAACCTCACATTCACATTTGTAATATACAGACAGTTTTGTAATCTGCCTTACACACACACCTCTTCTTAACACAGGCCAGAAATAGCTCTCTGCTTTCATAGACTTTCACAGCGATCAGTTTCGAAGACTCTGCCAGGTTGTGTACACACAACAAGCATCTGACTCATCACAGTGTCTCTGATATGTTCTTGGCAGTCTGCGTGTTTGCTAACTAAATAAGAGAGTGAATCACTTCCCATCAGGATCGTGTACTGTCATTGATTCACCATTGCTCTGTGGATAAACATTTCTCTTGCTTCCAATACTTAGAAAATACTCATTTTATAGCACTTCTACCTTGTAGTTTTCTTTCTTATTTCCTTCGAATAAATTGATTTCCCAAGAGAGTTGAGCTGAAGGGTACAGGGACTTTTAAACTTTCCACACATACATATGACATTAGTATATTACAAAACCTTTATGGAGCATATAGTATATCATTTGTCATTTCAGATCCAGAACTATTCTAAAGATGGGGGAGATATGCCCTATAACCACAAGGATTTAATATTTAAATACAGATAGAGAGTTGAACAAATCGGCATACTTGGTATTAGTGATAACACAAGGATAGTGGTAACTGACCTGAATCTTTCGGGATAAGTCACTCTCCAGGAAAGAAGGGATCAGCATCATAGGCAAGATGAATAACATGTGCAGAGGAGAGAAAGAGAGTGTGAAGGCCTAGGATAGGGAAGAGGTGAATATCTAAAGCCAATGAGAGCAGATAGGGTACTGGGTACCTGGTGGAACATTGGCTCAACCAACCAACTGCGCATACCCAAGGCAGTTTCATTGCATTTGCATTACTAGATCTTTATTCTAGTTGTTGAATTCTGAACTTTTTAATCAAACATTAAACTAGATCTGGACTCCCAAGAAGAGAGAGAGAAAAGTCGTTCCCCTTCAAAAACAAAAATAGTGAAAACATAACCACTTTTATACGTAGAAGAAAAATGTAAGTTTTTTTCATCAAAAACTGTCATTCATTTCACATAGTAAAGAGTAAAGGGACAAGCTGAGAAGATTCATTGAAAACCCCTTCAAGAGTCATGATGTTGGTGTTTATGTAAAGAAAGGCACGTTATTTTTTTGTCTTGTCTTCATTTTTATTATTTTTTTTTACTAGGCAGCATGATATTTACAGTTACTCATGGTTGGGTTTCAGGCATACAATTTTTCAGTATTTATTCTATCATCAGTGTCAATTTCTTTCCACAAGTGTCTCACTCCACAGCCTCCCTCCTTGACAGGCACATTTTTTTGTTGTTTTGGGGTCACGCCTAACAGTTCTCAGGGCTTACTCCTGCTCTGTGCTCAAGGATCACTCCTGGTGGGCTCAGGAGACCATATGGGATGCTAGTAATTAAAATTGAGCTGGCTGTGAGCAAGGCAAGTGTCTACGCCCTGTACTATCACTTGGGCCCAACAGACACATTTTAAAGTTTGGTTAGGAAGGCACGTTTTAAAAGGAGATTGATGTCCTTTGAGCACAACTGGGTCAGACCCTTTGTTGTCGCTGGACTCCAGCCACCCAAAACACGGGTTGGTCGGGTTGGTGGACTCTGCAGGCAATCCATGACAGAGTTCCAGTATGTCCATCAGCACCATGGATAAGTGACTGGGCCTCTCTCAGGCAGTTTGTCCCTGTAGAAAATGAGGAGAAGAGCTGTGCACTTCAACTAGGAGGACTAGAGAGTTCAGTAAGATTATCCCCCACTCTCAGAGCACAGATCCTAGAGAACAGCTATTTTTATTCTCACTATTATTTCTATAGTGAGAATAAAAAGCGGCTGGAGCGATAGCACAGCGGTAGGGCGTTTGCCTTGCACGCAGCCAACATGGCCGACCCGAGTTCGATTCCTCTGCCCCTCTCGGAGAGCCTGGCAAGCTACCGAGAGTATCTCGCCCGCACGGCAGAGCCTGGCAAGCCGCCTGTGATGTATTCAATATGCCAAACACAGTAACAACAAAGTCTCCAATGTAACGTTACTGGGCCTGCTCGAGCAAATCGATGATCAATGGGAGGGCCTTTACCTTTTACCTTTACCTTTATTATTTCTATCATCATTCTCTGAGGTGCCCTTGAGTCTCCTACTACAGAGGATAGGAGGGGATTCAGCTCTAGTCCCACAATGCTACCAACTTCAACAAAAAACTTGGCATTTCAGTCTCGAGAGACCAACCTGGGCTATTGTCTGGTCCCCACATGATGTTCTTTCAAAATTGGAGTATTAGGGAAATGTGCACTGGTGGAGGGATGGGTATTTGATCATTGTGTGATTGTAACCCAAACATGAAAGCTTGTAACTATCTCACAGTGATTCAATAAAATTTTTTTAAAAATTGGAGTGTTCTATCCCAACTCAGAAGGAAATATCTTTTTTATCTTCCCCTTATTCCCCTGACCCCTATGAACCATTGTTGGTTCAGTGAGTTTAAACCCAGGTTGGCTAACTTGTCAAGCCGGTAGTTGAACTGCCTAGGGGAAGCATTATCTGAGAGACAATGATGAGAGAAGTAGAACATAGCTAATTTAGAAATACTCGGTTGCTTTTCAAGACACCATTCATCCACAAGCTGCTGAGTTGCTTTCATCAGAGAGACATGGGTTGCTTCCATTTCTGTTGTAGCAGGCGTGTTATTAGGCAACAGCCAAGAATTTCTCCACAGACACACCCCTCGATAGCACTAGAAACCACAAAACACGCTAGGCAGGAAAATGACTCTTGTACACATGATTTCCTCATTTATTTAGGTAGAAGCAAAAATTAAACACTCATTTGCATGTTTGATGCTCATTAAGGTTGTTCTGTTTTAATGTGTCTTGAGTCCTTTATATATTTTCCAGTTCTTTCTGTTTGATTTTGATCATGCCAGTGATCAAACCCAGGTCCCCCCCATGCAAGTTTTCTGCTTTACTACTGAGCTACATTCTGACCTCTTTATATCTTTTTCTCAATATCAAAAAAGTTAAACATAGAAAAATATGAAAATAAGGAAATAAATATAAATTTTTAATTACACGATATTCTACTCCAAGAACTACCCATTGTTCAACTCTTAGGTAGTTTATCCTGCCTTTTTGGGGAGAAATAGAATTAGGAAGAAAAAACGAG